GGGGTTTGGAGTAGTTGCCCCTAGTAACCAATCGGCTTCTCTCTTCAGTTTAAGTTAAGCTTATTGGTTGCAACTGCTCCATATTCTGTCTGCTCCGTTTATTATGAATTTCCCCCCATTGTTGACGAGCATTGTTCAGACTGAATACAAAAGCAACATTGATAGTGATGTATTTACGGTTGTGTTCCTATTTAACCCCTTATAAACCATTCGTTTTCCCAAATCAGCCCTCGTTAGCCCTTTCCTCCCCACAATGTGTCTCATAATCTTAGTTTATTTCTATTTTTCTATCCATTAATTACTAACTTTTTAAATAATTATTCATTTTTTTCCTTTAGGGCCGTTCTACATATACTCGGGGTAGAAGCACACGAAGGTCTTCCTTGAGAAAGGGATGAAACGTTGGGTAGTTCTGGGGCCTCATTCGTCATCATTCATTTCTATTTGGTTATGCTTGAATTGTTGGACCATTTATTGGACTTTCTTTGTCCGCACATGTATGTGCTATGGATCTTTTGCATGCGATGTGGCTCTTTTGCATGTGCTATGGATCCCATGTAAGCACTATGGGATCTAAAGTGGATTTTTGTATATTGCATGAATTTGGTAAATGCTTTTTGTACCTTATCTAATAGAATACAAAGTATTTATGCCTTGTTCCTGGGTGTGTAACTCCATTCATTTATATTTTCATTAGGGAGGTACCGATACCAGGTACCCTAACCGATACCAGGCATTTTCATGTGTCTCCCCCTGGGAGCCGGCACTAGCCCGATCCACTCTCCACAGCATAGCCACAGAGCCCTGCAGAGATCCACATGCCGTTGGGGACATCTGCGCTCAGCCCCCGGGGGACATCTGCGCTCAGTGCTGGTGAGAAACTGCCCTAAAATCAGTCTGTGTTGGTTTAGAAAAAATGTTTATAAAATGGGTGCAAAAATGGAAAAAAGGGCCTCAGTCATGAAGGGGTTAAGAAAAAGTATCGGTAATTGGTATCGACGAGTACCTGAGGTAAAGTACTTGGTCTTGAAAAAGTGGTATCGAGACATCTCTAATTTTTATTTGTATTTAAATTTTTTAGGGTTGCAGAAAAAAAAAAAAAGCCTTTAATTTTGTAAACACATTTCCAGTGCAGAATCCTAAATTTTAGTGTCTATTTAAATGGGACAAATGATACAAGTGATACTTTTATTTACATTAACAATTTTTTTTAAACACCAATACTAGAAAAAAAGGTGCATTCTCTTTTTAGCTTTAGGACATGATCTCGTCTGTGGATTGCATAAAAAAATAAAATGGATAAACAATATCACCAAAAGAAAAAACAAAAACCCCACAACAAGGAGGTGTATGATTTTGTTTTCTAAAGTTATTGCCAAATAAACTGGCCCCTAGAATATATAAGATGAGTTCTGGTCCATGGGAGGTGTACAGGCGCGAGAGCTGAACTGGTTAATCTCATATGAGAGAATCACCCGCCAGGCGGCGATCACCTCGCCTGCCGCACACCAACTAGCGTTATGAACTCGCCCGTGTACCTCTCCATGTTAGAGGGGCTCATATTCTACACCGACTGGTGCATCACCCCGCCATGATCCCAGCACCCACCTCATTCTGGAGAGCGCTAGTTTCCATCTGCTTCTGTTTGAGCGCCAACATAACCTGATCCCGCTCATGCTGGAACAAAATGGCTTTCTCCTGCATGGACTTTACTTCGTTCAACAGATGGTTGAGTTCCCCGGCTTTTCCCTGAGAAAGAAAACAAATGAATATTCCAGCAAAAACGACTAAAGAAGAATCTCACCAAAAGAGACAAACTCAACGCCAAATAGGTGAATGTTTACTAGCGTCTTATATACAATGCAACCAGAAGGAGCTTAAAGTGACATTAAAGTCAGATTTCCCCCCCAATGCTGCTTTAAGGACTTACCTTAAATGATGGCTCTTGATCCGATCATCTTCTTTCCAGGAGTCCCGCCTATCTTCAGACGGGAGCAAGCGGCAGAGACACAGGTAAGTAATAACCGGTTTGGTAACTTTTAAAACAAAATGTTTTTGCATACATCTCCTGCTTGCTGGCACTAGATATATGCAAAAAAAAAAGAAGAAGGTTTAATTCTACTTTAAACACAGTAAACTGTACTTAAGTGTATATAATGTTTTCTTCATACAATTCTAAACTGTAAAGGGCAATTTGTGTGTTTTTCTGTACCTTTACCTTATTCTGTATCATTTATAACTACCTAGCGATCCTGACAGTCTTCTGAATTGTGTCCCTCTTCCTGTCCCTATGTGTGAACAATAACCGTAACAGACATGTGGTAGTGTTAACAGACATGTGCAGAGGCTCCTGTAATGGGAACAGCAGAACGTGGTGCAAAAGCATGGAGTACTTGCAGTCCCATAGTCAGCAATTAATGGAGTAGGGCTTTGGGTAAGGTAGGGCGCATGACCCTCTCCATGTGACATTGTTGGAAAATTAGGAGTTTTGCCCCGTGTGTAGCGCTCGTCAGGGGTAAGGCGGGGAAAGAGGAAGGTAACCGGATGTGCTGGTTGAGAGCACCGGTTGGAACGTGAGGGTTTTTTTTGGAAAATGGGAACAGGGGGTGTTTCTCCTAATTTATGCGGGTGTGCAGCTTCCGTTGAGTTCAGACCGGGGTGTCCGACATGTGTACTGTGGAAAACGGAAGCGCCACTACCTAGTGCAAATAAATGTGGTTGAGAGGAGCTGGAATAAAAGTAGCGGACTCACCTGTGGCTGGGTGAGCGTTTGTATGTAACCCCCTGGGTGGGGTAAAGCTGTGGAGTCGAGCGGTGGATTCAGTCCCCTTCTATGCTGGGTTCGGTCCCTCACTTGCTGGGTAGTGCGGATGGGGACACAAGAAAAAACCAGGGGGTGAAGTCAATTGGTAAGCAAGGGGGGGTGGGCTTCTGAAACTCACCGTTGGGATAGCGAGGGCAAGATGTCACCCACCACACCGTTGTCGCTGACATCTTGCCCTCGCTATCCCAACGGTGAGTTTCAGAAGCCCACCCCCCCTTGCTTACCAATTGACTTCACCCCCTGGTTTTTTCTTGTGTCTCCATCCGCACTACCCAGCAAGTGAGGGACCGAACCCAGCATAGAAGGGGACTGAATCCAATTTTCCAATTTTGTTTTCCACATGTGACATTGTTGGGCCTAAGGAGCTAATCACCAGTCCTGAACACTGACATCATACCCCTGTCTAAGCTCCAACCCCAGAGTCTAGACAGGTGGGGATGCTTCAGCAGAGAGTATAAAAGCCTGGGGGTGTAGGCCATGTGCAGACAACTGTTGACTGTTTCTTTCAATGAGATGTGCCTAAGAACAGATACTTCAAGGTTTCTGCTCTGACCCGTTTTATTCCTAGACCCCTCCGATTCTGTTTCTACATTAGTTTATAAATCATCTTTACTCTGATGAGCCGCATGGGATTCCTACACTTAGAATGTTTGTCCTGCATACAGTCCAGAAAGGATTGAGAATGCTCGGCACAAAAACATAAAACCTGTTCTTCAACTCTTTCTTAATCTTTTACCGACACGTATGCAAACGTATACGAAACATATCAGGACCAACCTGTTCCTTTTCTTTAAGAAGGTTTTCCAGGGCCAATGCTTTCTCCTTCATGGAACTGGACTCGAATTCCTTCTCTCGGAGGAGCATGGAAAACTGCATGTTGGTCTCGTGTAATGCTCGGAACTCCGTTTCTTTTTCCTTCTCTTTGGCCACCACTTTGTCATTTTCTTCTTTTAGCTTCCTGATCTCCATTTCCAAAATAAGAGCCCTCTCTTTGAGGTTGGTGACGGCCTGCTTCAGCAGCTCGTTCTCATTCTCTTTGTTCCTCAGGTTTTCGCTGGTGGAGTTTAATTTGTCACCCTTCGTTTTGATCATAATGTCCTTCTCTTTCAGAGACTTATGCAAGACTTCATTTCTCTCCTTCACCTGCTTGAGCTCCAAGGTGGCCTCCTCCTGGCTCCTCTGACCATGCGCTGACGTTTTGGCCATGGATTCCGACAGACGATGGTTGTTCTCTTGAAGGGTCAGGATGGCGGCATCTCTCTCTTGAATATGAATCCTCAGTTGTTCACATTCTTGAACGAGCTTTGCCAAATCACCACTTGTCTGTTCCGGAGATGCCCCCAAAGGAGTCTCCACTTCAACCGCAGCAGATTTCCTGACCTGGAGTTGGCCGAGTAAACGTTCTTTTGTAGTGTTGAGCTCTCCGATGCTGCTTTGGACATTACTCAACTCGAGGCTGAGACCTTGAAGCTTCTTCTCGTTGTTTTCATAGCTCTGAATGAGGTGATTGTAGTTTACGTGTAATTTAGAGCTAGAATCGCTGTCATTGTTGATCTGACCCTGAAGCTTGTGAAGCTCCTCTTGGAGGTGGACAGATTCGTGTTGCATGTTCTGGACGGTGGTGATCACCTGCTGTTTCCACTCTTCCATCTTCTTCACCTGCTGCTTGAGCTTATCCCGTTCCTGCAAGAGCTCCTCAAACTGAATACTGTTGACACTTCCGAGTTCACTGCCATTGTCCGTGCCGGAAGTCTGGAGAACGGTCAACAACGTCTGACATTTCTGGCTCAAGGCGTCTATCTCAATGTCCCGCTCTCTAATTATTCTGGAGAGATTCTGGATGGTCTCCCTAAACATCTCCTGGTTGCCGCCCTCTTGGCTTTGTGAAAGCCTCTTGTTTTCATCTTGAAGTTTCAAAAGGGCCGACTCTTTGGCAGCTATCACATCCATCATTTTGTGGTAATCTGTTCGAAGCTGACTGTTTTCCCTGGTCTTCTCACTTAGGACAGCCAGAACCTGCTCCCTCTCCATGGCATAGGCTTGCAACTGCTGCTGAAGATACACGACGTCCTGCATGTAACTGACCGAGGACACGCGGGCGTGAAGAGTTTGTATTTCTAAGTCTTTCTGTTGTATGATCTGAGTGAGCTTTCCCACTTCGTCTTTAGACAACTGGTCAATCTGTTTGGTCAGGTTTACGTTCTTTTCATTTAGGATCTTAATCTCCATATCTTTCTCTTTGATGCCCTTGACCAGCCGTTCGATCTCCACTTTGGACAGGTCGTGTTTCTCCGTGCCGTTGTCGCCATTGTTGATGGTTTGTGTCTTGTTCTCGTGGAGTATAAGGGAGGAATCCATCTGGACGAGATGCTCGTTCTGCAGCTGGGAGCTGATCAATTCGTTGGTCTGTTGAAGACTGGAGATTTCGCTGTCTTTCTCGGCGAGCAGTTTCTCGTACGTGTCCACCATCTCCTTGTGCTGTGACGTTACTTCGTTGACTTCTCTGATTTTTTCCTGAAGAGATTTTTGAAGCTGCGCTGTGTTTTGGTTGTGCTTGTCCACCGCTTTCTTCTGCAGTTTCAGCTCCTCTTCGGAATTATTCCGGGCTTTATTCAGCTGCGTTATTTCTGCCTCTAGCTCCGTGATGATGTCTAACGTCTTCGGGTCCACCACTGGCTGGGACCTACTCTGCTGGTCCTTCAAACGTTCAATCTCCTCCTTCAGGTGGCTGTTGTCTTCCTTCATTGAAGCGAGAAGTTTTTCCTTCTCTTCCAGGCTCCGTCTTAAGACGTCACATTCTTTTGTCGTTTTGGTTTGATCTTCAAGCTTGCTTTGCAACTCCAGATTCTTTTCCTTGAGCTCAGCGACAAAACTTTCCTTCTCTTTAATAAGATCGGTGAGCTGTTTCTGCCCCTCTAAGGTACTGGTCAACATTTCTTTGGTCTCCTCATAATCGATCTCAAGCTGCTCTACAGTTCTTTTGCCCTCCGCTAACTGGAAGTCTTTCTCTTGATGGAGCTTAACAAGGCGTTCATGCTCCAGCTGTAAAGCAGAGGTGTCCATCTTCTGGGCATTCGAAAGCTCACGGATGGTCCGTTCGTACTTCTGAGCCTGTTCATGAAGTCTGTTTTCAAGTCGGTTCAGCTCCGTTTCTAGACGGCTCTTCTCCATTCTGAGGGCTTCGATCACGGTCTGTTTTTCCAAAGCTTCCTTGCTGTTGGAAGCCACAGCGTCCTGCAGTTGCAGCTTTGCTTGTTCTTGGGTTGACAGTAACATCTCATTCTCCATCTTCAGGTCACAAATCTCTTTTTCCAAGTCTTCTTTTAACTGGCTGACTTCTGAAAGTTGAAGCTGTAACTTCTTAATCTCTTCTTCTCTCTCGCCGTCGTCTTGGAGCGCATGCTGAGAGAGCGACTCCTGTTGGGCCACATCAAGCTCTTCCCTCGTGTGCTTCAGGCTCTCCTCAAGCTCTGCATTTTCCCGCGTAACACTGGAATTTGTGGATTCCAGATTTCTAACAACCTCCTGTAACTCGTTCATCTGGACTGTAAGCTGCAATTTCTCTGCTTGTAGATTGTTGAAAACGGTTTCAGCGTGTCTCAGCTTCTCCTCTTCAGACTGCAACTGTTCATGTAAATTTCTGATTTCAGCAACTGCAACCGAGTCTCTTTCTCTCGCTTGTTGTATCTCCTCGTTCAGCTGTGCCACGTGAGCCTCCGAGTCTGCCCTCTGCCTGGACAGCTGCTCCTTCATAAGCACCAAGTGCTGTAAAACACACAAGTTGTACTGGTTACACACAGGCAATACATTACCAACCGATTAATTACCAACCCCAACTGAAGGATAAATTCACCAGAGCGAGTATTGGGAAAGGGGGGAATGGAGGGTCATGCCTAGAGGAGATTAGAACTACAGGTCATGCCTAGAGGAGATTAGCCACCATGAAAAGAGGTTATTCCAAAGTTCAGAAGCTCCCAGTGTGCAGTGATATCAGAGGAAGCCATTTCAGTCCAGGAGAGGAGGCGGTACAGCTGTGCAAGAGTGAAGGGAAGGACGGAGGTCAGATTTACTTCCCGCTCATCCTATCACATACAATGTAATGTCTAAGCGCAGATCCCCAAAAATCTGACAGGAAAGGAGGATGAGGAAGGAAGGGGGGGGGGGATGTTTGATTACAGTACCTGCATCACCTCCTGATTCTGTCCATCCAATTCCTCTAGTTCTGTTGTAAGGGATTCCTTTTCTGCAAAGCTTTCTTCCAGCCTCCTCTGGCTCTCCTCTAGGTCTCTCCTCAGCTGCTCACAGGTGACATCGGCCTCTTGGGAGGAAGTTGCGCAATCCACATCTCCCAGCAGCACCTCCTAAAGACAGAGGTCAGCAGAACATTCGGGTCAGCGCACACCTGAGGCCGGCTTCAGTAATGCATGCAAGAATGCAAAATCGCACACAACAAAACAGACTCAAACATGAAGCGCAGATCTAAATCCTGGTGTAGGAAGGATCCCATCATATGGTTCAGATCTACTACCGCTGGAATTAGCATTACCTGATCTGTTGACGTAACTCTGCTCACTCCTTTTTCTGCATCTGAAATGAAATAGAGCACATTGAAGTGAATGTCGGGGGAAATCAATACATGCTTGTAGATCGCGGTATACTGAGCTTTGGGTCACGGGAGGACGCTAGTATATGTCCTCCCGTGACCCTTAAGAGAACTATGGGGAAAAAACACTGACCCCAGGGTTCTCTTTTTAAAAGAAAAAATAAGATTTTTACATTTAATATTTTTAAAACATTTTTTGTAAAAACTTTAGTTATTATTTATACAAGATTTATAGAGCGCCAACAGTTTGTGTAGCGCTTTACAATATAACGAAGACATTGCAATCACAATACAATTCAAGACAAGATGGTAAAGAGGGCTTACAAGCCCCCCATGTGATAGCATATTGCTGGTGACAGGTCCTCTTTAAGGTGATGATGGGGGTCCAAAAGAGCCCAAGTGTCACCTTTACACTGAGATGCAAATCACACTTCCAATAGCTTATAGCTGGGCTTCAGGAGCCGAGCACTGACAGCTATGGGACCGGAAGTAATGCAATACGCGTCGCTTCCGGTCCCATAGAACGGGGAGGTAGCTGGGGATCTCCTACCCAGCTACCTGTCAACACCCGTTAAGCCGGTCCTGGGCCCGTAGGAGGGGCAGAGGAGCCCAGGAAACACGGCGGGGGTGTGGCCCGGTTACAGGATCGTAGAAGCCATCTGGTGGCAGCTGAGGCGCCAGAATTGCTTCCACTGCAACGCTGGCCGCCGGCTCTACAAAACTGAACAGACTCCCGGCGGCTTGCGGTTTAACCCCTTCAGACGTCATGACGGCATTATACCGTCAAGGGTCGTAAAGGGGTTAAAGCCTACCGCGATGACACTACACACTGCAAAGGACAAAACTGGCAGGTTTTTTGGTTGGTCGTTAGGATTCACATACACAAACTAGAAAACTCTCGTACCAATCAGAGCCTCTTGTAGGCGCAGGACCTGTTGCTGCAAAGTGGTGACTTCCGTCCGGCTGTCAGACTCTTGCGACGTCCGTAGTTCAGCCAATTCAGCGCACAGCCTCTCGTACTCCACAGCCAGACGATTCCTCTCGCTCTCCGCAGACGCTTTCTCCTGCCGCAGAGATATTTTCTCTTCATCCGCGGCAGAGACGGCGGCACCCAGCTCTCTCAGTTGACGCTCCAACTCCTGGATCTTCAGCGTGCCGTCAGCTTTCTCTCCTTCGAGAGATCGGAGGGTTTTCTGGAGTTCAAACATTTTGGATTGGACAGAATTGCCATCTGCACCTCCGGAGAAAATAAACACAAAACATTAACTATTGAACAGATCCTATGAATATTCAGAACTACAGATGCCGATACTGCAAAATGAAAGCAGAAATCCGGGCAGATGGATAAATCCACAGACGCAATACATAAAAGGCAGAGGTGTTCCTGTCCATCCAGTCCTGAGAGTTCTACAACCCCACCACACAACTGCCATCAATGTATGTTACAGTTAAGGAATACAGTAGTATCTGCCCACCCCCAGCTGCTGATTGGACAGAGAAAGAGCCAAGTAGACTGATGGAAGTAATCTCTCTGCTCACACTGTACTCTCCTCCTATCATCGCCTGCCTTGTCAATACATCTGCATGCACCACACCGCCAGACTTAAAAAGGAGAACTATGAGGTGAGGGATTTCCACTCTTCCACCTCGTTAGATCCGACCTGTGACAAAGAAGCTGTCACAGGTCGGCTCTATTGATCGAGAAGTGAGCAGAAACATGCCGCGGATACGCTCACTTCTCCATCGTCTCCCTGCAGTGAGCGGTGACCGCCAGTCACCACTCCCCACAGGGATTCCCACCTCCCCACTCCGATCCATCAGCGCTGACTGGAGGAACAGACGCGGGAAGGGGCGGGCACAGCTGGCTGTCTCTAGATCGGCAGATCCTGCTGTCACTCACGTAGCTGGGTGGATCTCGACAGTATTTCTGGGATCTGTCCCGGCTGCGGCGCTCTCAGTATATTGTGGGCAATAGCCCGCTATATACAGAGCTTTGGTTTACGGCGGGAGGTTAGTATATTTCCTCCCGTGACCCTAAAGAGAACAATGGGGAAAAACACTGACCTCATAGTTCTCTTTTAATGCTGTACAAGGATTGCAGCAGCTTGATAGTAAATCAAATTCTGGTATTTACAGTGCGAACCTGGCCCCTCCCCTTCTGCATTCAAGTGGTCAGAACTCTGCCACGCGCCTGACCCGAAAGTTCCTTCCCCTACATGGAACTCAGTGTAAAGTAGTCACCCGCACAACCAGGTCCAATGTATTAGTACGCCTTAATTTAGACACGAAGAATACACTGTATCACTAGTGCACAGGAGGTATGCTACCTGGAACTGAGGTCACATGCTGCCGGGAGATTGCAAAGGACTCATCTCTGCAGGCACTGCTGCCACTGGACCACCAGGAAAGGCCGTCTGGGCAATACAGGCTCTCCCCACAGCAGCCCCTACATGTAGGAGGGGCGCTCAGGGGTCCAAAAAAAGTGGGCAGCACAAACATCACAGCCTGAACCACAGAAGACAAGGAAAACAGGTGACAGTGGTAGATTCAAAATAGGGGGTGTTATCCTTTAGGGAGGTATGCCAGAAATGGAAGTCTGATGCATGTGGATATGAATCTGGTGCTACGCTGCTGACGATATAGGAGTGCCCATCTCACTTGGAGATGTTTATGATCTTTATTGAACCAGAACATCTGACACAGTCAATTAGTTTCAGGGGGGGGACGACAGTCCTCTGCTTTCTTCAGGGTTCAAAAATAAAACGATTTACGGAAGAATCACGATCAAAATCCTTTTAAAGGAAGAGTTAAGGCTGAAAATATCCGCGGTCCTCACTAGGGTCAGTTTACGCCAACATTCTCAGCCACACACTTGCCTCAATCCAGGTTACCAGGGAATGACACCGATTCTTCCATAAACAATTTTTTATACCCTGAGGGGGCAGACTTGTCCCCTGAAACACACTGGCTGTGTCCAATGTTCTTGTTCAATAAAGGCCACAAATTTAGTTTAAAAGAGGGGTGACCGTTTCAGGTGCTCCTAACCACATATTCATTGTAAACTTGTAGCAAGCAAAGACCTGCATTCAGCTGTTCCTCCAGTTCCTCGATCCGCTCTTCATAGTCACCCAACTCCTCTCGGTGTCTCCGTGTGATCTCCGCCAGCTTCTGCCGATGGGCATCTTGTAAGACAGAGAGCTCGTGCTGGTGTTCATCAATGTGACGGCCCAACTTCTCCTTCAGGTCCTGTAATGTGGAGGAAGGAATAAAAATCGGCTTTGTTCAGCAATGTGTCAGAAATGAGACCATGTTCAGTCGCTCAACAGAAATAATATCCACTTCATTCTGCAATGGGTTTTGTTCCGTTTTCCTAGCAGCTAAGCCCCCCCTGCTCCCCTCTCAGCAGTTATTCAGCAGCTCAGCTCTCCCTCCTCCCAGCAGAGCTCAGCATTGACTCTGCAGCTCAGTTCCCCCAACTCCCCTCTCCCAGCATTGACTCTGCAGCTCAGTTCCCCCAACTCCCCTCTCCCAGCATTGACTCTGCAGCTCAATTCCCCCAACTCCCCTCTCACAGCATTGACTCTGCAGCTCAGTTCCCCCAACTCCCCTCGCCCAGCATTGACTCTGCAGCTCAGTTCCCCCTACTCCCCTCTCCCAGCATTGACTCTGCAGCTCAATTCCCCCTACTTCCCTCTCCCAGCATTGACTCTGCAGCTCAATTCCCCCTACTTCCCTCTCCCAGCATTGACTCTGCAGCTCAATTCCCCCTACTTCCCTCTCCCAGCATTGACTCTGCAGCTCAATTCCCCCTACTTCCCTCTCCCAGCATTGACTCTGCAGCTCAATTCCCCCTACTTCCCTCTCCCAGCATTGACTCTGCAGCTCAATTCCCCCTACTTCCCTCTCCCAGCATTGACTCTGCAGCTCAATTCCCCCTACTTCCCTCTCCCAGCATTGACTCTGCAGCTCAATTCCCCCTACTTCCCTCTCCCAGCATTGACTCTGCAGCTCAATTCCCCCTACTTCCCTCTCCCAGCATTGACTCTGCAGCTCAATTCCCCCTACTTCCCTCTCCCAGCATTGACTCTGCAGCTCAATTCCCCCTACTTCCCTCTCCCAGCATTGACTCTGCAGCTCAATTCCCCCTACTTCCCTCTCCCAGCATTGACTCTGCAGCTCAATTCCCCCTACTTCCCTCTCCCAGCATTGACTCTGCAGCTCAATTCCCCCTACTTCCCTCTCCCAGCATTGACTCTGCAGCTCAATTCCCCCTACTTCCCTCTCCCAGCATTGACTCAGAAGCTCAGTTCCCCCAACTCCCCTCTCCTAGCATTGACTCTGCAGCTCAGTTCCCCCAACTCCCCTCTCCCAGCATTGACTCTGCAGCTCAGTTCCCCCTACTCCCCTCTCCCAGCATTGACTGTGCAGCTCAGTTCCCCCAACTCCCCTCTCCCAGCATTGACTCTGCAGCTCAGTTCCCCCTACTCCCCTCTCCCAGCATTGACTCTGCAGCTCAGTTCCCCCTACTCCCCTCTCCCAGCATCGACTCTGCAGCTCAGTTCCGCCTACTCCTTTCTCCCAGCATTGACTCTGCAGCTCAGTTCCCTTAACTCCCCTCTCCCAGCAGTGATTCAACAGCTCAGTTCACCTTGCTCCCTACTTATAGAAGTGACTTGGCAACCATCAAATGTCTAAAGTAAACAGAGCAGGAGTTCTGTGGAGTGAATGACTTAAATTATATCAGTGTTTCTGCTGTAGAACTTGAAGATGAATTTCTCCACAGTGCCCGCAACTCTTGTAAGAAAATGTAAATGCTTTAAAGTTCCTTGCCTGATCACATTTAAAGGGGGAGTCTTTAAGCATAAAACCTTCCCCTTAGATTCATGTGGCGTAGGGATAGGGCACACCCACTGTTAGATTCTGCTGCCTGTGTCTCCAAGGCTTCACCTCATTTCTAGTCCTTTAACCTGGTCCTACCAGGGACAGAAAATGAGAGAACTCTTCTGATGACTGGACCTACAGGCATCAAGTGCTGCACTGGGGGCAGGGGACAGCCCTGGTGCTGGACACCCAGAAGTATTGGGTATTTCCAGAGCAGTCTGACAGTGATTTGGAGTGATGGAGGACAATGAGACAAAAATGGTGAGCACTGGCTCCTCGTTGCCCTTCCTATAAAGGAGGCCTTAGTATGGGCAAAGAACAAGTTGACTTTGAATAAGGAAAAAAAAAAACCTGGAGAGTCCTGAAAGATTTGCTGTATTATTGAAGATCTCAAAGCAGCCAAATATATTGCAGCATTTCGGTGTTCACATGCCGAGCAGTATTAGAACAACGTCACCGCTTTCTAAAACACAGAAGATCTGCCTCTTGTACCTTGATAGTGTTTTGTAACACTCCAACCTCCTTCAAGTCGGGGCTCTGTGTGCCTGGAGTCTTTGTTACCTACAAAAAGAGAGAACAACATGTACTTGAATGAGAAGTTGAGGAAAAACAAACCAATGCTTGTGTACACTGTATCCATGACAATCTGATACATTTCTTTGGCTCGTGGATTTTTCTTGCTGGTCAAAATGGTTGAATTTGCCAAAACATCTTTACTTCAAAGTGCAGAGCGGCTGAAGGGACTGATGAGCAAAACAAGTGACACACCGAGTCATTCTTCTCTCCAAGCTAAAGCTTTGTATTGCACACAATGAGCTCAGCACCAGGGTCTCACCTGTGCTATGTGCTTCCAGTGGGTCACCTCCGCCTGCAGCCTGGCCACTTCACTGGAGAGGTTGTTGATTTCCTGCTGAGACCAGATGACATCACTGAAGTCCATGTCGTCCCCCTGGAAGTTGGAAGAGGGGGGCGGAATGCTGGACATGAAGGCCGGAGAGTCGGAAGCTTGAAGAGTGACGCTAGACAACTGCGCCGAGACCTGCGCCTTCTGCACCTCATCCTGCAGCAAGTTCAGCTTGGCTTTCAGATGACTTATCTCCACCTGAATAGGAGTGACAAACTCTCATCAATCTGGGAGTACTGGGCTGTGTGCAAACTAAACGCATCAAAGCAAAGCGACGCGTGTCTGAAACTGCTCGAACAATGATACAGCAAAGGCAATTCCAGGAAACAAGTCAGTTAAATGAAAATTCTGTCCCATGCAAGTGTGCTCAAAGCGGACCTTCACCCAGATCCATCAAATAACAAAAGACACCTTTAGAAATGTTTAGTGATGACAATCTACAGACAGATACTTCTAGATAATTGCCGGCTTTGTATTCTTTGCATCCTTATTTCTCTTTTCTTCCCCAGTCTTCTGACAGTGGCCATGTCTACTAAGGGCAGATTACTAGCTCTCCTTTTACTTCCTGGATTTCTGGCACATGTGACCAGAACATGTGACCATGCACATCATCTCATGAGAGGTAAAATGCCTTTCCCTGAGATCCCGCAAGATTACAGATGAGATTTCCCAGCAATGCTCTGCTGATGTCAAGGCAATCCCAATGTACAGCCAGTTCTCAGCCAATCAGCATCAGGCCGGCTTCCTGGCCAATCAGGAAGCTGGGTCTTTAATCGCTGCCCAGCTTCCTGATTGCTGGCTCCATGTTCCCCTATGGCACTGCTGGTCAGAGGAAATCTTCCTCTGACCGGAGGTTCCGGTATCGGGGAAGGTATCGAAGTATTGGGACGAGTAAGCACAAATCAAGCCGGGCAGAAAACATGGAGCCAGGGAAGCTGGCTCTATGCCAGCAGTAGGACCGGTATCGGTACTTGGTAGCGACGCGTACCAAACGTTAAGTATCGGTACTCTATACCGAAAAAACGGTATCGGTGCATCCCTATTTATAACCCTTCTGCTGGGAGGATGCCGCTTGCATGGTACTTCCAGCACTAGTTAGGAATTTCCTATGCTCCCCTGTGCCATCTAGTGGAGGTAGTGCCATGTAGATAGGATGAAGGTTATAAAATCAGCCCCCAAATGTTCAAAAGCTGATGCTGGAGTGATCGGCCTTGTAAACCAGATCAGAATTTCTCATCTACATAAAAGGATAAATAACAATGTTGCCATCTGACCACTAAACCCCCCAGATGTGAAGATGAACGATAGAGATCGGGATTTACAATGTCGTCAGCCTTCCGACCTCTTTTTGCTGCAGCCGGTTCCTGTAGTCGGTGCTCTGCTGCTTGACTTGTAGTTCCGCCGCCTCCAGCTTATCTTCCAGCTCTACATAGAATTTCTTCTGCCTCTCATTCTGTACAGGAGACACCAGAGGAAGTAAGAAACAGGAAATGCATTACTCCGGCCGACAACAACAAAGACGTGACCTGACATCACTGACCTCCGACCTCTGCATAGCCTGGAGTCCCTCATGGTCTCTGAACTTGGGTACATCGCCGCCGCCCACTTCTAGAACAAAACACAGACAAACACACAACAGATTGAACATTCCTGTGTTACAGTAAATGAATTAGAGGCCGGGACTACATTGCTCTGCATTGCCCTTGTAAACACGCTTATAGAAAGGACTATTCCAGGGATGGCTTCATCAATGTGCTGCCCCTTGAAGGATCAGAAGGTCGGGGGAGGAGAGGAGACCAGGGAAACGATACGTTCTTCATCCC